CATACTTTGTACACAGAGGCATTTCAGAATTTCCCGCTATGGCGGCTAATTGCTGAATTCAGCCTTAAGATTCAATGTTACCTCAAATGCATACAGCTGTTTTATATCTAGTTATTTTGGAATATCAACATGATTATACCTGAGAAACGTATGAAATCTTGATTCCAAGTGAGAGAAAAAGTCAGGATAGGAGCATTTTTTGTTTGTTTTGCTGTCTGACAGGCAGGTGTCAACTTCTTTTGATGTTGTGCTTTGGAATTTTGGCAGTAGATTGCAGACTTAACCCCCAACATGAATCCAAGTGTTTCGAAAATGGAAGCACGGACAAAATTTTATAGCTCTTTGATTATTAGCCGCCATTCTGCCACCAACAAGCGTTTGGTAAACTTTGAAATTTACACTGTCAGAGATATTCAGTGAAGATTAATTTATCTGGACAAAATGACAAATAATTATAGAAGCTCAATTCTAGCTGCAGGAAAGAGTGTCCTAACTCCTAACCTAGTACTATTCATACGCCAATTACGAAATAAAAGATCTTGCAAATATCTTGAAAGTTACTTTGCCAAATAATGCTGACAGTGTAATCTTTTCTCTGGTCTCTAGGGCCGTGGCCTCAAAACTTGTAAATGTTAATTTTTGTACAATTCGCTTCTCCTCTATTCAATGAAAATTGGCGACTTGCCGATTTCGTTCAAAAATAAATAAATTTGCCAAATAATGTTCCAATACTCATGGAATTCCATATCATTCCATGAAACTGATCTTCTGATTTTCGTCAGAAATATGAGCATACTATCTGAGCTCTGTCCCGTACAGCAGCAGAAGTTTGAATTGCTCTTCAATACGTCATTTAGAAAGCTCCCTGTAACTTGGTCCTAAATCAATACTCCTACAGTGTATTAAATCTTCAGAACCTTTCTGTCCAGCAGTACGTAGCAAACCAGTCATAAATCCGGACAAAGAACTCAATACCGACAGAGACAAAAACCTACTTTTGTGCCTACGGATTCCTCATGATCAAAGTCTTAACAACAGCATTCTTGATTGGACATCTCATGTGTGCACAAGCAGATACGACGATTATCTTTACTGTTGCAGCAGCCCAACATTTATGAAATCCCAGACTTATGCAAGACTTATATGCAAACATTTATGAAAGATTATTTCATGATTTTCTTCCAGAGAGAATCTCATTACTGCGTCATAAGAAACCAAATGCTGCAAGACACGGCCACAGTAACATAAAGCATATCTATCATCTCAAAATCAATCCTGTACAGGAAAAAATATCTAAGAAACATGACCAAACGCCGAGTTGCTGAAATTTTGTAGCAATAGAGGATGAAAAAAGTTATGCAGCCACACTTAATTCGAGCCATCGTATTCGTAATTCCAGAGATGGAATCACTCATCTCAAGAGGCCCCGTTCTTTTTTATTAAGATCGATACAGATTTTACCTCGGTTTCCATTAGTACAGTTTTCCATAATGCTAAACGGTGTATTTCGTGCGAAAAATTTATATATAGAAGTTACTTTAAAATATCAGATAAATCAAAATTTCATGTTTGAAATAATTAAAACTCAATTAATCATGAACTAATGGCTTTCTCATTTTGCATGCTCGTACTTAATCTTCATCTTCAGTGAACTCAAAACGGTGCCTTAGTTAGTTGTATCTTTCCATGAGCAGTTTGGTGCAACAAAAAGCCAGGAGGATGCAGTTTATTCTGTGACTGTTTTCAGGTCTGCTACAGCCTAGAGCTAATTTTTCTGTTCATTTTCAGTCACATTGTGCATGCATTTTCTGTCCTTGTTTCTTGCATCTCTTTCGCAGCCATGCAAGTACAATTGCATAATAAATACAGTCCAAGATGAAGGGCCTCTCTCCTGTCATTTTTCTTCTGCTGGTCCCAGAGACAGATTGTAAGCTTGTAATTTAGGAGCATCAATTGCAGACGACCTTCCAACAGTTCTGCTTTTGACTGGAAAAATTGGCAATGTTGAAGTTTTGCAGATGAACTTGGAACAAAAGGTTATCTGTTGTCAACTTGGACTTGCAGGTTTAGACTTGATGAGGTGAAGCATTCTAAGATGCTCTAGCTCTGAAATCACCCTACGCATGGATTGTCAAAACTGACCATTTGACCTGGAACAAATTACTGACATTTGCTCAGAGCTAGATGAAAGGTCTATTTCTTCAGACGGATAGACATACCAGTTAGTCAACAATTCAACCTGATAAGACCATGATCTGGTCCCGACTTTTGACCAAATGATTAAAATTGATTCACTTGCTTGCATGTCTAATTATCTATCACATGCTGTCATGCCTGATCATCCCTAGGGAATATGATAAGACTAGAATCCCATAATTCAGTGGTTAATTACCCAGGTTTATCTTAGTATGTACAGAATATTCTGAAAAAAATCAGAATAAATAAAGCAGAAACTGTGTGCAATATACTTCCTTTGAATGAACATATGACAGCAAATGTTGGTTGCTTTGCCGTCTTGCAATCTTCAGTTAGACCGTTTCCTTTCCGTCAGTCCGTCTTAATGAATGACACGCAGAGATTTCGTGCTCTCTATTAGAAATCTTGCCCTTTTTTAGTTCTAAACTTTTTCTTCAAACTTCCAACTTTTCCATCACATCAAAATTTTTCTACACACACAAACTTTCAACTTTTCCGTCACATCGTTCCAATTTCAGCCAAACTTTCAATTTTGGCGTGAACTAAACACACCCAAGTGTTCTTCAGATAGTACAAACTTAGGCCGAGTTTAGTTACAATTTTTTTCTTCAAACTTTCAACTTTTCCATCACATCAAAACTTTCCTACACACATAAACTTTCAACTTTTCCGTCACATTGTTCTAATTTTAACCAAACTTCTAATTTTGGCGTGAACTAAACACACCCTTACTAGCTCAGGAACTGAACCATGAATTCAGACAACTCATTCCGTCAGAAGATGAATTCAGATAATTTATTCCATCAGAAGGTTCCGCGCACCTGAACAATCATCAATGGAAGGTTGAATGCAAATGACTTGTTGTCCTCGAAGTTTCCTTTAGAGAAATTTTAATGAAGAATTACTGTAAGCTTTTTGTACAATGAATGCCACTTGCTGTCCTCGAAGTCTCCTTCAGAGAAAATTTTATGAAGAATTACTGTAGCCATTTTGTACAACTTATGCCAGGTATACTACGATGACAAAATGTTTTGACCCCTGAAACAATGTCAATTACGACTTGGACGGTTGGACCTGTTCTGAAGTCGCCCGAGTCAGCGGGATATAGTGATCGATAAAAATGTTGGGTTTTTGAGTTTTGAAGGATTCTGTTTTTCTAGAACTGACAAGGAAAGGTGAGGTCGCCAAGTACTGTTTTTTTATATAATAGAATTTTTTTATTGAGCTTTAATTACATCAAGATGATGATACAATTACTCTGAGCATAGCTAAGTTGCCAAGTACTGTAACCTGTCCCTTCTTCATTCAGATTGTTTCACTTTCACCTCAGCAAAACTGACTTGTAGTAATAGGATAAACTCATAAATCCATCACTCATCAACCTCTGGCAATCCAAGGTCAACCACACTGTCACATCGTAGAGTGGTCAGAACTCATAATTAGCACATTGTTAGATGATCAACTGCATTAGCAACAGCATTTTGACCTGTGACAAACTAATCGCGACTTGACAGCAATTGTTTTGTGCTGTTCTGATGTTATCTGCTACTATTATCATCATGGCAAGAGCGATGTTGCAGTCCTGCAGAAGCTTCGGCTATAAATGTGGAGCTGAATGTGTATCACACGCTCCTTCTCGGTTCCTTCTTGCTGATCTTAAACGACTCCTAAATCATCAACGCAAGCTTCTTGACAAACAAAGTATACAATGCTATATTTAAGGGAAGAATTGACACTCCAACAATGTCAATAATTCTCAGTTGAGAATTCAACAGCATTTAACACCACATGGTGAAAACTGAGACATTCTGGGAACCCTCCTCATCCCATTTTTAATACTCCACCAAGCCTCCACAATAGGCCAGATGACATGGCACTGATCAATCTTATTAGGCCCTGTTAGGTCCCACACAAAAATTTTACACCTTGTCACATCGAACATTTGAACACCTGCATAAAAGATTAGTATAGGCTAAAAAATAACTAATTACACAGATTGCGACTAATTTGCGAAACGAATCTTTTAAGCCTAATTGGTCCATGATTTGACAATGTGGTACTACAGTAAATATTTGTTAATGATGGATTAATTAGGCTTAATAAATTCGTTCGCTGTTTACTGACGGATTCTGTAATTAGTTTTTTTATTAATGCCCGAACACCCCATGCGACACCCTATACAATATCCGATGTAACACGCCAAAACTTTACACCCCTGGATCTAAACACCCCCTTACTCATCTTTGTGCATCCTCACATAAGGGTGTGTTTAGTTCACACTAAAATTGAAAGTTTGATTGAAATTGGAACGATGTAACGGAAAAGTTGAAAGTTTGTGTGTGTAGGAAAGTTTTGATGTGATGAAAAAATTAGAAGTTTGAAGAAAAAGTTGGGAACTGAACCAGGCCATAGTATAACATTGGGTGTGTTTAGTTCACGCCAAAATTGAAAGTTTGATTGAAATTTGAACGATGCGACGAAAAAGTTGGAAGTTTGTGTGTGTAGAAAAGTTTTGATGTGATGGAAAAGTTGAAAGTTTGAAGAAAAAGTTAGGAACTAAACCAGGCCATCAGTAAGTAAGGCCCTGTTTAGATTCCAACTTTTTTCTTCAAACTTCCAACTTTTTTGTCACATCAAACTTTCCTACACACACAAACTTCCAACTTTTCCGTCACATCATTCCAATTTCTTTAAACTTTCAATTTTGACGTGGAACTAAACACATACAGCCTAAGTTACAATTCCATCATCTAGCAAGAAAGAATTCAAAATGGCTTCAACCTAAGCTTAAAAAAAACGCAGACTGGAGGCTCTGAACAATATACTTTAGCAGGATATTGAGTTACTCAATCCAGTAACTTGCATTTGTTTTTTGGTTCAGATCTATGGTACAATCAGCACAGCATGTTAAGGTCGATTAACATGAACCACTACAAGTCATCATGGTCATGGCAAAAACAAAATTCTGTTTCCTTTTAGACAGATTAAAACATGGAACCAGATTTTCCTTTCCCCATCAGCATGTCCTTTGCCTCATTTATCTTCGAAGCGATGTAATGGCTCCCACCAGCATCAGGGTGATTGGCTACCATTACCCTCTTGTGAGCCTCCTTGATCTTATCGAATGCAGCACGTTCTCTGATACAAGAAAATGGTTTCTATAAGTACCAAAGACAGTGGCAAAACACTCTTTAACACCAAAACAACTGAAGATCATTAAGCTTAACAAGAGATTTAAAAAACATCACACAGGATACAGTCTACAGGTGCAAAGAATTGAGAAGAAAACCCACCTTACGCCAAGGATCAGTGCCGCCTCTCTTCTTGTCATTTCTCTCTCGAATCCACCAGGGTAGAACCGCCGCACTCGTGGCATTGCTGCACGGGTCCGGAAGGCTTGCCATGCCTGGAGCATATATCTGCTTCCCATTGCAGCAGCAGCTACTGACAACCCAGCTACCAAGGGAGTAGCCTGTTGGCAACACATAATGTTCCAAGATGGTGATCAGATGCAATACTCAAGTCACAGTAATATTTGGTACGGACTTCAATTTGCAGAATTGAAAAAACTGAAGCTCATATTGCTAGGACAAACATGCACCTCTTTTTTTGTTCTGGAGATGCAAGGCGATGCAGTTCTCAGACTGAACACCTTACATAACAACAAACTATATGAGCAAGGCGATACAGTTCTCAGATCATATCCCTTACAGTCGCACAACAATCTAAATGAGCAATTTGCGACATGACTACTTTTTTAGGAAGCACGATTGAATATAACCAAACCCCTACAGTGGAATTCATTATGTTACCCACAATCACCCTGAAACCGGTCATGAGACTCGTATTCTTAAACTTTACTTTAACGATAAGCTGCTGATGCAGGTTTAATCAAACAAAACGTACTAAAAATCTGATCTGAACAATTTAACATCTTTGCATTTGAAGATCACTAACCACACTAACATAGTTTACTTTTCTGTATAAAAAGGACAGTTTGGTTCAACCAAAAAAAGGAGCAACTAGACATGACTTCCTGACTAATCAACGACATTACAACAAAGGTGAACAACTCAATTGGAGATTTCAGCACATGAACCAATAAAAGAATATAAACCGCAGGTGCAAGGCAGTGCAGTCCGGCGTCTGCTGCTCTTCCCCTGACCACACAAACACCACCCGGGACTTAATGCCCGATTCCTCCTAGCTCCCCAAGTCAGAGACCTCTCCACATCGCAAAAGGACGCGCGGAGACAACCATGGCAGAAAAAAAAAATCCCCCAACGTTTTTATCATCGTATTGTACAGCACCTCCTCTCGATTCTCGAACACACGCTACTAACTAATATCATCGTATTGTACAGCGCCTCTCGATTCTACACTGGTGACAGGTCTGGAAAACTTTGTGCCTCGCATTGATGAACACCCGGCCCGGGGACCAGACCGTGCGGGACACCGAGGCTGGAAATTCCTCGGATGATGAGGGAGAGAAGAGGAGGAGGAGGAGGAGGAGGAGGAGGAGGCGTACCATATCGACACCGACCGGGGACAACTGTATCCGCGGGCGGAGGGGGGAGGATTCCGGCGAGACGGAAACGGTGGGAGCGAGGCAGGCGACGCGCGGCGAGCCGGAGTGGAAGAGAGCGGCGGTAGATAAAGCTATTCGCGTTCTTGCGGCGCAAGAAAGAAGAAACGGGAAGGTGGGAGGCGGCGCGAGGTCGGTTTCGTTGCCTTCTTCTTGAAGAAGGGGACGACGAGGCGAAGACGAAGACGAGTCGAGGACGAATTCGTTTCTTGATTTTATTTTTGTATTTTTTTTTTCAGCGCAGGAGATGCTTCTGGAGAGGGCTGGATCGACTACTCGTGGGCCGCCTCTCGTGCATGCGGAGGTGGAGGCCCATGTGGCCCAATATGAGAACCAATCTGCTGGAATTGGGCCGGGAAAAGGGAATCTATGGGCGGAAAAGCTAACGCGTTTCGTTGGCGGCGAGCGTTTCCAATAGTTTAGTCTAATTAACTAAGTGATTAGTAGATATATAATGACGGTAATTAAGATATAATTTTCTTTTTTCTGAAAGATTTTTTCTACTAACCGATTAAAAACTTTCAAGTTAGATTTGAAAACTTTTGAAGTCAAATTTTAAAAACTTTCAAAACTCAATTTGAAAATTTTCAACTCGAAATTTAAATGTGTAAGACAAATTTTGAAAACTTTCAACTCATATTTAAAAATTTTCAACTCAGATTTGAAAACTTTCAACTCAATATTTGAAAACTTTCAAGTACAGATTTGAAAAAATATGAAAACTTTCGACTCAGATTTAAAAACTTTCAACTTGAGATTTGAAAACTTTCGACTCAGATTCGAAAAATTTGGACTCAGATTCGAAAACTTTCAACTCGAGATTTGAATACTTTCAAATCAGATTTAAAAATTTTCAAGTTAAGATTTAAACTTTCAACTCAAAACATTTTGAAAAAAAAAATAAGTGTGCTAAAGATTAAAAAAAGGTAATCAGAAAAAACCGAAAAAAATCGCAAAAGATAAAGAAAAAACAAATCGTGAAAAAAAAAGGAAAAATGGGCTGATGGGCCGAAGGCCCGGGAGCAGCTGACGCGTGCCAACTAGCAATCCCCATCTATGGAAGAGCCCCAGACTCCCAGTCGAGGTGGAATTCCATTCTTCTCCTACTTTTTAATTTGGAAAGTTTGTATTAGGAAGTTGGAGGTTTGTTTAACTTTGAACTGGAAATTTCTTGTTAGGTTTGATCAGCTTTTATAGTTGAAGTTTCAGAATCTAACAACCCAATCGCAGATAAAAGATCACACGAGACAAAAGTATAGTAAGTACCTCTCTACTTGGTGGTTACCACTTACCAGTCTACCACCAGAACATGTAGGAATATTTTTGACGAGTAATGTTCAAGGGATTTCCGAAGGAGCGGTATTAATAACTAATCAGAAATTAAAAAAAATCATTCTTAAGGCGAATAACAGAATCGAATTCATTCTTTTTTTTCTCTTAGGCGCTCAAGCTACTTCCTTCGTTTCATATCATAAGACTTTCTTAGTATTGCCCACATTCATATATATGTTAATAAATATGGACAATGCTAAAAAGTATTCTAACCTAAATAGTAGATCAAAAGGGTTTCATGCTTTGGAGCAAAGAGTACAAATTCATCTCGTGCAAGCACGCCCTGGACATGGACCTGCCCCACCATTTACCGGCGCCGCTGTCCCGCACAACGATCGCCTTCTTCGTTGCTACGGCGAGCTGCACGAGCCCGACGTTGACGATCCTCATCAGCACGGTGCCGCTTCTCTCCCCGAACCCCTCGAAGAAGACGGTCTGGTACAATCTCCGTGCTTCCACACTCCGATCAATCGCCACCCTCGCGATCACCACCTGCCGGCTCCACCTCTCCACCGCCGCTGCCTCCTCCTCCAACGTCCACACCGAGATCACCTCGCGCTCCGCCATGACAAGGCTCAACACCGCCCCGCCCCGCGACATGACCAGCATGAGCTCGCTCATGCTCTTGGCGTTGCTGCAGCCCAGCATCCTGTCGACGCACCCCGGTGGCAGATCGATCGTCCTGGCCGCCGCCGTGTCGGCGTGCAGGGCGACGACGCGCACGCCGTAGGTGTTAGTGCTAGACCCTCGATCGAACACCTTGCGTGCGTACTGCAGCAATCCGGCACGGCAACGAACGAGATTCAGAGGAATACAGAGCAGAACAAGAACACAGGAAATTGAGAAGTTTCAGAAAACAATAGCAGATAGGAAATTTGTGGGGCTAATTTTCTGTGGTTTTCATTCACTGAACAGAGTAACATGCAACTAGAATAACAGTACAAAAACTCCTACTTAAATTCCACACAAAAGAAAGAATCCGAGGCTCAAATCGTGCCATCCCACGATCCGCTTTTCTCTGAATTCGACGACTCACGCACCCGCGCTAAACTCACGCACACGAACGCTACCGACGCGGTCTTCTTCTGACTCGATCACCGCATCATTTGCATCTGCTAACAAACGCAGACTTATTCCTTCAACCGTTGCAACTGCAATCACCAGGAACACGTTGGGGCCACAGCTGAAATAACAAACTCAACAATCTCCCCCTTAATTCTGCTGTGGCCCAAGAAAACGAACACCAAGAAGGTGCCGAGCCGTTGCCAGCTTCGCCGCCGGCAAACCTTTTGTCAGAGCGTCTGCCTGCTGTTCCTCAGTCCGGACAAACTCAATAACCACTTTCCCTCCATCAACACACTCACGAATGAAGTGATATCGTGTATCAATATGCTTGCTTCTCCCATGAAACACTGGATTCTTCATAAGAGCAATCGCTAATTTGTTATCCACAAATAGCTTAACCACCTTCGCCGGTCCTCCAACAATCTCAACCAGCAGTGCTCTTAGCCAAAGCGCATGACAAGCTGCTGTCGTGGCCGCCATAAACTCAGCTTCACACGACGACAGTGCCACGGTCTTTTGTTTCTGCGAGCTCCAAGCAACCAAACTGCCATTGATGTAGAACGCCATACCACCCGTGCTCCGGCGGTCATCAACATCCCCAGCGGGTCGCTGTCTGTATACCCAGTAATCTGCATATCACCATTTCAAGCTGCATACACAAGGCCGCAATCAATTGTACCTTTCAGATATCTGAGAATTTGTGTCACTGCTTTGAAGTGCATAAGAGTTGGCCGCTCCATAAATCTGCTTGCCACTCCAACAGCAAAGGAAAGATCTGGCCTTGTGTGTAACAGATATCGAAGACAGCCGATCACTCGCCGATACTCAGTTACATCCCACCGGGTGACCATCTGCATCTTTGTTCAGCTGCATCCTTGGATCAATCGGAATTGAGGTTGAATTACACTCCAGCATCCCGAACTGAGAAAGCACTTTTCTGGCATAGGCAGTTTGCTTGAGCGTGGTTCCATTTTCTCCCTGATCAACTTCAATCCCGAGGTAGAACGAGAGCAGACCGAGATCACTCATCTCGAACTCCCCCATCATCTGTTCCTTGAACATCTTCAATTCAACAGGATTTTCACCAGTCACAATCAGATCGTCGACATAGACGCCAACGATGACACCACCACTGCCTATGCCCCAAGTATACACAGCCTGCTCCTGCGTGCACCGCTCAAAACCGAGCTGTTTCAGACATCTATCTAGGCGAATGTTCTAGGCTCGCGGCGCCTGCCAGAGTCCATATAATGCCTTGTTCAACCTGAGCACGAGATGCTCTCTACCTTGCTTGACAAAACCTTCTGGTTGTGCAACATATACCTCCTCTTCTAGCTCGCCATTCAGAAAGGCTGACTTGACATCAAGGTGGTGGACCTGCCACCGGCGATCAGCTGCTAGAGCAAGAACAACTCTTACGGAGATGGATTCTAATAGCTCGAGTGGATGTCCACCCGTTTATTGCATGTCAACTAGATGGTTACGAAAAATTTTCAAAAAAATTAACAAGATATATCAATATATAATATATCACTCCACAAACATGCAAGTTCAAATTCAACTTCTACAAGTTGTAACAAAAATAACAAATTTAATTGTAAATTTACATATAGTAATTTAAGTTTTGTTTGTTATTTTTGTTACAACTTGTAGAAGTTGAATTTCAACTTGCATGTTTGTGGACTGATATATAACATGTTGATCTATCTTATTTATATTTTTTTTAATTTTTTTCATAACCATTTAGATGACATGCAATAAACGGATGGACGTCCACTCGAGCTATTAAAATAGTTTCCCTAACTCTTACTGTATCAAGTCTTGCCACCGGTGCAAAGACTTCATCGAAATCGACTCCCTGTCTCTGCACATATCCTTTTGCCACCAACCGAGCCTTGTGTTTGATCACTTCTCCCGCAGTGTTCTTCTTGAGTTTATAAACCCACTTAAGCCCAATTGCCCTGTGGCCAGCTGGCAACGTGGTGAGCTCCCACGTCCCGTTCCGCTCAATGGCATCCATCTCCATAGCCATGGCGTCCTCCCACGCCGAGTGACCGGCTGCTTCACGGTAAGCTGACGGCTCCTCCGTCTCTGCAAGCAATGCCTCACCATCTTGTTCATCATCAACCAAATCCACCCTGGGCGCATCTCTCAAAATATCAGCAATGTGCCTGTACCGAACAGGAGCACCGTCGGTGTCAATTTCGCCAGCAGAGTGTGGTGTGCTCTGTTCACCGATAGGCGTGGCAGGAGTGGTCGGCAGTGACGGTGACGCCTCCGCCGTGCCTGCCGGAGAGGAAGCTTCCTCTTCTACCACCACCGGCTCCTTGCCTAGACGCCTGCCGGGTGATGGCGCCTGGTACCTCGGTACCGCGCCTGGCAACGATGTCGCCGAGCCGGCTGGTGACTCAACGATTTCTTCAACATCAAATTCAACGGAGACTTGCTCGCCTGCATCTCCAAGCCACTGCCAAACAGCATTTTCTTCAAATATGACATCACGACTTACGTGGATGCGACCGCGACGTGGATCGAACAGCCGGTGCGCCTTGCTTCCTTCTTCCACCCCCAAGTACACATACGGTGCACTCCGGTCGTCCAGCTTCTTAAGATGTGGCGTTGTGATCTTCGCATGTGCAGTACACCCGAACACACGCAAGTGTGCCAAATGTGGCTTCTTCCCCGTCCATGCCTCGTACGGAGTACGATTGCCCATCGCCTTGGTTGGCAGCCGATTGAGGATGTACACCGCGTGGCGCACCGCCTCCCCCCAAAGTCTGCCTGGTACACTC